GAATAAAGCATTGAGAGGAACAAATGAAATAAAAATCAGGATGTTGCACGAGTTTGGTCAGTACCTGTATATATATATACATATATGTATGTATATGGTTTTTGCGTCTAGTCCTTCTTCGAACCCCATTAATCTCAATAAATGCATCGCACATCTCAACTGTTTCATTTCTTGGCATCCTTCGAAGCCTTTGCCGGGCGTTGAATACAACATTATACACCCGTGCTGTGTGTAAACTTACCGATGCTAATCCGTCTAATAGTGTTCAACACTGCCGAAACATCTGCACCTCTCAATCTTCAGGCTGTCCGAAACTCCACTGTCCTTACTCGACTGGTAATAACTAAATAGCGCTCTTTTCTTTCAAGCGCCAAGTTGACAAACTAAACCGGGATTTATTTTGTGTTTTTATGCAAAGTCCAACTTTGGCTAACGAACCGTAGCCACAATCGAATGTCAATTAAGCGAGAAATTATTCTGTTTGTTTGGGGGTATTTTGCAAACAGTTTGACACGCACGCACACTCACAGAGCCGTAAAACTGATAACGAAAAGATTTCCCGCGACAACGTTTATTTGCATATTTGTCACTAACCGACGCCACTCACATCGAAACACCACAGTCAAGTAGTTAATGCATATCTTCTAGCCATCGCTGCCCTCTGGGAATTTGAAATATGCATCCTATTATCTTTGGAATGAACATACGTACATATGAACATCATCTATCCTAGTTATTACCAAACATCTGGGAACATCATGGTTTGTGGTTGTTAAGTTGTTATGTCACGACTATCAAGTGGTTAAAGTCATCAGAACGATAGACCGGAGTTCGTATGTTCGAATCCCGTCCTTGCCGCTCATATTTTTTTAAAATTCTGAATTCCCCTCCCTTAGGCAGTCTTCGATTTTTTGCAACCCTCTTCCCAAAAATTCACCATACAATTGTCTACTGAATAAACTAAAAATATTTCACAATGTCATAGTTATTGTTTCAAATGAACCCATTCAGAGACATGCACAACTTATGCTTCGTCAACAATGTCCTTGAAATTAGCGCACTTCGTTCAGTGTTCGACCAGCATTGCACAGTTTCCTATACTTATTTTTATCAGTATTGCCATACTGGTGCAGTACTAGTGGGGGGAAACGGTGCTTGAAAATCGACAGTTCTTTTGTATCTATCAATCCCAGGTTCTATATTCTGAAACCATACAATGACTGTTAAGGTGAGTACAGAATTCACTCGATCCGTGGTTGACATACCGGTGTATTGCCTTAATGGAATTCCTCGCCACTATTCATGTATTGACGTAATGCATCCAAGTGGTTTCCAACTGGATCGAGCCACATTTATTTGTTTTTGTATTTTATGGGAATACAATCAGGAAAGAAATTCACGGGTACCGTAAAAAAAAAACGTTCCGCTCATCATGCTCAGTTGAATAACTAACAGTCACAAGCACATTTGATTCCGAGCGCACACGTATTTCTGCACCGGTTGTTGTTATTTTTATCTCGACCGTTTGCTGCTATCCTCCCATTCACCCGCACACTGCTTCTTTGGATGTATGATATAGAGTCACACTCTAACCTGTTTACACACTGTTCGTTTTCTGGCTTGAGAAAACTGTACTGCACTGTTCTAACCGGTTTTCAGACGTGATTAAGTTGATAACTTTGGCCTACAGTTCTCCGAGGTAGACGATTCTAGTTTGAACCTGCACTCTCAGGTGTTTTCTGCTAAACCAAATACCAATTTGTTTCCGAGGTTGGTATTGCTCTTGCGCAAGTGTACGATATATCTTTGAATTCTCACCAGTTGATTGTGCTAGGGAGAATTGTCCAATAAACGAATTTAATAGCAATCTTTCAGTCTATTATGGTGGAAAATTTTACTCACCTGTTTGTTTTCCTGTGTTAGAAGTTCCATCAGCACACTCGATTCTCCAGACACGGGCGTTGATCTGTGATAAGATTTTGGATACTAGGCCTGATCGAGGAATAATTGGCATACAGACACACAAAAGGGTGCTTTGCGAACACTGCTCATCAGGATACGCACGGATTCTTTATAAAATAGCAGCAGTCCTTGTGTGAAAGTTGTTCCGATTACCGCATTCGAGAGCCATTTGGATCTCAAAACACACCATATTGTGACACCTTGAGCCACCGGAATACGCATCTCGGTTTTTTATTACTTTGTGGAATCGGTTCGAGGGCCATAATAGGTTCTGTTTCTTTCACCACTCTGTCCTAGATTTGGTGGGTCACAAAATCAGTCTTTTATTCGATCACGAGTCATGTTTCTGATCTGTCGAGAGTGTACGAGTCGAGGTTGGGGATAGGAGTGGATGATCATCTTCTGCTTTCATTTTATCACATAAATCCTTTCTGACGTGTTTGATCGGGTGCTTCTAGACACACTCGTGTTTAACCTCTGGACTGCAATCCGTCTTCTTTTGGACAGCAATTGAAAACTGTCTGTCTCTGTGCCGCTGGCTGTTTGCGAATCCCAGTTGTGATCAGAACAAAAACGCACAGTGATGTGTTCATGACCTGGTGTGTGGAAGTAGAGATATTTATGACGTCATTGAACAGTATGTATATATAAGTGAACTTTAATAGTGCATTCTCGTCGTGCGAAAATGTATACGCAACCGACGGGAACAAACTGTAATGGTTATAAACTCTTAAAGTTTCCAGGCCTAAACCACAAACTTATAGCTATGATGTCCAGTTTTACTGCACTGTATTGATAAAAATCGAGCGGAATTTTGTACAGTTGACGGGAAATTCCCATAGTTTTTTCAATCCATTCAGCTTTAGCCCCCCCCCTCCGCGCCCCGCATTCAACACCGAATTGGTTAGCACAATCTGTTCAGTTTGGACTAGGCTTTAGTTCATGAATTGGGTGATATTGTTGACTTCACGTTTTGGTTTTGATTGCCTACTGTCGTCTAAAGCTTACCCCTAACCAAAAATGCACAGAAGAAGTATGTGATTTGCGAGATTCACTTCATTTCTCCCTCTTATGGACCTGTCCAACAGTCGCATATGATCAATCAGTTTAATTTTGAGTTGAACTCATATCAAAACGTTTCTGAAGGATGCCGGAATGCTCAGTGTGGTACGAGCTGTTCCAGAAGAATGATGTTCCCGTGATAAAAATAGATCGAATACACTCTAAACACATAATAATAGTCGAACCATGCGCTTGTAGATTTTACTAATCGTTGTTACGCGTGATGGAGAAAACGTTCAAAAAAACTAATTTGCATGACGCGTGAAGTTCCTCTGACGTTTTGGTTATCGACAGTTTTCGTGATATACTTCATTCTTTAGCTCATTCGAATGACCCAAAGATATGTTCTATTTAACGGTGTCACCTGCCATCCTAACGTGTAGAATGCTCATGTGCCTTGTTAGTGGAGCTGAACCACTGACTTGCAGTGTAATTGGCTCACTCCGTACCGGTGACGTCTAAACTTTTCGCAGATTGCTGTTTTTATTACGATGCTACTGAAATCGTTAGTTAATAGACGGTTTCCATACCCCAATTATTTTGTTTCTCTTACTGTCATACATCCTCGTTTTATAGCACCTATAACTTCTATTGATATTCAGGTAAATAATTCAATCCTGTCATGTAAGTGCTCGGATGGTGTGTATTTGTATATTTATCACTGTGTCAGGCGTAAGCCTGATGCATAAGAATCACTGTGACACAATGACGTGTCAACTTGACGCATTCAAACGTCGGATTTATCGGAAACGGTCACGTGCCTCTCACAGTTCCTCTGCCAAGACGATGTTTATTACCAGTATTTTCTAAATGACTGAGTCTCGAGCGAAGGGCTTCATGGTAAATGAATGAAGTTATTCTGTTTCCAGCGGCGCACGAGCCACAATGGTCGTGTGAAATAATAATAAGTAGTTACAAGTATTCTACAATGAAAATTGTCTAGTAAGATATCGGTGACCCATTTCATTTCAACATGTGTCTGTTTCTTCGACCGATGTCACACAGTTCCAAGTTTAGTTAAGGTTTATGTGTAGAATTCCTACCAGGTCGCATGGCTGCCCTCGAATTTTCTACTGTCCGAAACTAACATCCATTTTCATAGTTTTCTTTTAGTGTCACCTACCTGGTTTTATGTTTGCATTTGAATGCGAAATATGTGGTGACCACCTCATTCAATCGATATATAGGTAAAAGAACCACCGTTATGTCAATTACAACATGTATGCAGCACTGTGCGCGTCCCTGCCTATCCATTGCATGCAGCTTGTTCTCTTTTCTGCACCACGCCACATGCCTGCCACCCACAAACCCTCTGATTTCCTATTGACTATGTCGTCACTGAACATTCGCCAACCTCGTGTTACTGCATGCCCACAGGCAAAATTTTTCTTTTTGACGCTAAGACTGATCACAGAGCACGGCATATCTTCACGGTTGTCGTAGATTTTTTGTTAATCCTTTAATAATTTTCTCGGGAAATATCTCCCAAGGGATCGAAATGCTTTCACAGTAATGTTCACTTCAGTCTTCTCGATCCAATACTGTTCTTATCCGTATCTGTTCTTCAGAGTTGAGGATTGAATTATTCGTCTTTAAACGATCGTATCTGTTGTTTTCTATTAAAGGTTTAAGTTACAGAGGCTGTTGCAACCGTCTGTCATGTTCATTCAGATTAACGAATTCGAAAGCACCAATCAATGTTCTTGATGTAAACTTCACGGGGCTTAGAGGATACCTACCTCTCCGCTCTCACCCCCGTGACTGAATCTCTTCATCAATTATTGCTAGTCTTCGTTTACTGTATGCGACATTTCACGCACTGGTGAAGTGATACACCCAAATCGTACTTCGATTTGTCAGCTTTCTCTTCCTCTCTCTCGGTGTTCACGAGGACCCTACATGTGTCTGTCTGTCTGTTTGTATGCTTGAGACTTCTGNGACAGAACAGGCACTGACGTTTTGTGCAACCGATTCACAGCGTAGACAAGTTTTCATTTACCTGATTCATGCTACTCGTGACGTATCTGGATTCCGCACCGAATAGGCCCCATGAGAAGAGCACGTGGTACTTCTAATTTGCACCGAGAGGTGAGATAACGTAATCTACTTCATATGTGGTCCTTTTTGTCGATTATCTATCGATCTTCTCTCGCTCCGATTTTTATCTCAGATAACGGTTAGTTTCTGATATAAGATGTCTAGTATCACCAGCCCTATCCGTGAATTAACGGGACTGGTTTTTAGAAATGTACATAAATCCATATATTCCTCATGTGGTCGTGGCTAAAATGTATTGACCTCTTTGTGAATCATTCTGTGCGCACATTCTACT